CCACCAGGGGCGCCGCCGCCGGCGCTCGCAGGCCGCGGATGAAGAAGAAGACCCGGCGCCGCTCGACCCGGAGCGAGGAATTGACCCGGAGCGAGGAGTTGACCCTGAGTGAGAAGGCGACGCGGAGCGAAGAGGCGACCCAGAGTGAGGAGGCGACTCGGAGCGAAGAGATGAATCGGAGCCAGGAGGTGACCCCAGACGAGGAGGCGACCCAGAGCGAGGAGGTGACCAGGGAGGAAATGGCGGCACCTGGGCTCACCGTGACTGTCACCCACAGTGAGTGTCGGGCGCCGGGTGGGCTCCTTGCTGGCCCCGAAAGCCCGGCGGGGTCTGTGGGTTTAGTCACGTGTTCTCCAGAAGCGTGTGACCTTGCGCTTGTCCTGGCGTCCGGAAGCGTGGGTTCTTGGTTGTGTCCGTGGAACTGTCTTTTGTATACTTTTCCATGTGGCCGGTGTATTTTGTCTCTGGCCATTTGTGCGATCCTGGGTGTTCGAGCTTGTTCTCGCTTTACGTCGTGGGACTGGTTGTGTTTGTGTGCCCGCGCAGTTATTGTGGTCTTTGTGTCAGGCATATATTTGGCCATGTGGTCTACGACTGCTCCGTGTGTAATGAGTCAGAACTTCGTGCCTGCCGGGGTGCTCCTCATCTGCTGAGTGCCTTCTCCGTGTGCGCCACTTGAGTTGGCTGTGGGTCTAAGCGTTGTACTCTGGGCATCCTTTGGGTCTGCCTACTGTTGGAGTTGACACACAACCAAATGAAGTCAGTACACCGGAGAGCTAAGTCCATGAGGTTTCCCCAGAACCAGCTAGGGGAGGCTTAAGGGTCTGGGAATCTGGAGACCCGGATCCTAGATCCTGCAGTTTAGAGTGACCTTGGGATGGACGGCTTCTTTCTAAGAATCCAGTTTCTCCTCTGTGAAGTAGATTTGGTAACCCTGGCTCCCCCTGACCTCACGGAGCTGTTGGGGGAACCAAACCTTGATGTAATGTACTGGACACAGGCTCCCTCCTTATTGTCCACATCCCTGGAAAAGAACTGGCGTCTCTCCTTCAGAAAGAAAGGCTCTGCTGTTCGTATTCATTTGTCTGTCTGCTTAGCACCAATCATGGATGCACTCAAGTGTGTCCAGTGGGAGAGACAGAGGAAAGCAGTCACTTGCCCGTTACAGCAAGCGAGACGAGACCAGTACAATACAGGGTACAGGGCAGTCAGGCCACAGGAAGCAGATGGCTTGTGATGAAAAAGGTGGGCTTGAGAATCAGCTAGATCTGATGTCAAGTTCTGATTCCAACAGCTGGGTCTCCATAGGCAGGCCTTAACTTGCCTGAGGTCACAGTTTGCTCATCTGTGAAATAAGAAGTAATAGGTAGATCTACTTCGTGGGGTTTTTCTGAGGATTAAATTTGATTATGCATGAAATGCTTAAAATGTTAGCTGATATCATTCATATTGTTAGTTATTATAATAGAGGAAACAGAGATCCTTGAGGAGGTCACCAGAGGAAAGCTGGGTGGCATGGGGGCAGGCTTTGTGGTGTAGGTGGCATATGAGCTGGGCCTTGAAGGCTGTGTAAATAAATGTAATAAAGTGTCACCCTCTGTTGGTTTATGTGAAAGAATCATCTTTGTCAAATGCTTTTCTTTCTCCCCAGGCAATGAGAAGCACGACCTTCATGTTACCCCGCAGCAGGGCAGCAGTGAACCAGTTGTCCAAGACCTGGCCCAGGTTGTTGAAGAGGCCATAGGGGTTCCACAGTCTTTTCAGAAACTCATATTTAAGGGTAGGCATTTCTTTTTCTTTTTTTCTTTTTTTTTTTTTTGAGACAAAGTTTCACTCTTGTCGCCCAGGCTGGAGTGCAATGGCGCGATCTAGGCTCACTGCAACCTCCGCCTCCCGGGTTCAAGTGATTCTCCTGCCTCAGCCTCTCGAGTAGCTGGGATTACAGGTGCCCACCACCATGCCTGGCTAATTTTTGTATTTTTAGTAGAGACGGAGTTTCACCATGTTGGCCAGGCTGGTCTCGAACTCCTGGTCTCAGGTGATCCACCCACCTCGGCCTCCCAAAGTGTTGGGATTACAGGTGTGAGCCACTGCGCCCGGCCAAGGGTAAGCATTTCTTTTCCAGCTTTTCCTTATGGCCAAGCGACAGTTTTAAAACTGCTTAACTTTTCCTAATAGTCACTCTGTTTTCAAACTGGGACAATTTTTATTTATTTGTTTATTCATTCAGTTCTTCAACAGATATTTATTGAGGACCTGCTAGGTACTGGACACTTTCAAACATCTGGACAGGTGTCAGATTTGAAGTCTTATGATGATGGCAGAAATCTCACCATTTTTGATGAAGCTCATGGGCAGTCTTCCCTGGCTAGGTTAGATCATCTTCCCATTATATGTTACCATGGTACTCCCTGCTGTTTTTGCATCACTTCTATGAAATTACTATTAAATAATCATTTTCTTAATTGCTTAACATCTGATTTCTCTGTTAGAATAATAGCCTCCGTGAGGGGGAGATACTGCTGTGTTTCCAGTGCCTCACATTGTTCTGACTCAAAGGAGGTTTTGAACAAACTTACTGGGGACCTGGATGTGGCGGGCTCAGTGGATGGATGATGCTCATTTCTGCCAGGACCCACACCCTCCTGGCCCCTGTCCCTTGTCTTCCCACTCCCCTGAGAATCCATTATTCTGGTATCCACTGCGGAAAGACTTATCCCATTGGGTGTCAGTCATTATAAATAATGTAATAATAGGAGGCATTTTATTTATATTTCATAATGTAACGTATTATCTTTAATTTTTAAAAATATTTTATTTCTGAATTACAAACACAATAGAAATTCATGTTTCAAAATAGAGGAATGCTTGAAAAAGAAAATGTTCCCCTGGATAAAACCCCTCAATAACACTGGGTCATCAGCATTCATTGTGGCATTGGAGTTTCCTGCAAAAAATGAGCTTTAATGCCTATTGTAGACTGTAATGCCTACTGAAGACTTTAAAGTCGTCTGTAGTGTGGTTCATCAGCCCCCGATGCCTGAATATTTGGCTCTTTCCAGTTTCTCACTAATATGAAAAGGTTGCACTGAATATTATTGTATAGTAGTTACTGTGGAGTCACATGTCCAGTTATTTGTTTAGGATGAATATGTAGAAATGAAATTACTGGGTCATGGCACTCTCTAAAAAGATACCAATTCTCATTAGTGAACACACTTGTCTATTTCCTGTATCCTGCTGAAATTTATTTTCAGTGTGGTACAATTATTACAAGTTGGCCTACCTTTCTCCTTTTTTTAGGAAAATCCCTGAAGGAAATGGAAACACCATTGTCAGCACTTGGAATACAAGATGGTTGCCGGGTCATGTTAATTGGAAAAAAGGTAAATTGCTTTTTCCATCAGAAATCCTCAGAATCAAATGATTGAAGTCTTTTATACAGGTTTCGGTTTAGAAGACCAAATTGGGGACCCAGATTCTGCATTGATAAAACCCTTCTCTAAACAAATACAATCTTTATTTGTTTTACAGGATTACCAATTTTGTTGTTCTCATACCCTCCTGCTCCTGTTGATTAGAACTTTTGCTCTAGGAAATAGGAGTGGTTGTGCTGCCTTAATAATATGTTTTTTGTTTTGGTGGTAGAATCTGGGTCTGGTTAAAATGGTGCCTGGGACAGGTCTCATTCACTTGGAGTAGAATTAGCGACAGTCTGGTGTTAAAATAAACTTGCAGATATTAAGAATAATCACTCTGTTCCAGTTCAGGAGCCTCTCCCTTTAACCAACCTTTTAACTGAAATCTCCCACAAGGGAAAACCTTTGACTGGAAAGAAAGGTTCAGACTAAGGAACTGAGGGGAAAAAAAGACAGATGAGGTCAGCAACCCTTAAGGTGATGAGAGGGCTGTGGCCAGCCCTGCATTGTGACACAGCGGAATTACTGAGCATATGAAGTTCCCTTGTTTTGAGTGAGGTGACAGTAGAGAGAGGGCAGAGATTCACAAAGTGAAGGCAAAGAAAATCTAATCCAGACTTGGAACTGCCTGGAGACTGGAACTCAGAACTTAGCTACAAAGAGGAATGAATAATTTGGGATAGCATAACTAAGCAGAAAGCTGCTAGACCTATCTGTCAAATGTTTACCTGAGAGAAGGGGGAAATATTCTAAATTTCTTGCTTCAGGGTCCGGGAGAATGGTGATGGGGAATAGGCAGAACCAAGGAGTCAAGTATGAAGAAACTATAGGACTTTTACTTGGAGCTGACGCAGAGCTTATGGAGTGAAGTGTGAAGTCAAGGAGGGCACCATGGCACATACCCGTTGTCCCAGCAAGTCGGGAGTCTGAGACAGGAGGATCACTTCAGTCCAGGGAATTGAGGCTGCAGTGAGTTATGATCATGCCTGTAAACAGTCACTGCACTCCAACTTGGGCACCGTAGTGAGACTCTATCTCAAAAAAAGAAAAATCTGAACTTAAGTCTACTCTACCTCTTTTGGACTGTGTGATCTCATGTTACTTTACTACATTAAGCCTCAGTTTCATCATCTGTAAAACAGCAGTACTTCCCTGATGGGGTTGTGGTAAGGCTTAAAAAAATAATATAGGTAAGATGCTTAGGATAGTGTGTGGCATGTAGGAAGTGTTCAATAGAAGTATTCATCGTTGTTAACCAGCATCATGTTAAACAGGAGCGCTCAATTGGAGGCTGCCATTTAGGAATTCCCTTTAAAGGAATGGTAGAATTCCACCTGACTTGCCATTCTGGACTCCTCACAAGTGTTCACTGAAATGTGATTACCCTCCAGGCTTCAGTCTTGGTTGTTGATCAGTCTAGGGCTGAGACTGAATCTGGCAGTTGGATTGTCTCCATTCTCTGTACCCAAGCTGTCAGGGCCCGCACCAGAATGTTTGCCTAACACCTTCTGTCTAGTCTGGAGTCTTTGTGGATGGAAAACTTGATGTATAACCCTTTGACTTGACTTCCAAGAAGCAACAGAGTGGCCGGGCGCGGTGGCTCAAGCCTGTAATCCCAGCACTTTGGGAGGCCGAGACGGGCGGATCACGAGGTCAGGAGATCGAGACCATCCTGGCTAACACGGTGAAACCCTGTCTCTACTAAAAAAAAAAAAAAAAAACTAGCCGGGCGAGGTGGCGGGCGCCTGTACTCCCAGCTACTCGGGAGGCTGAGGCAGGAGAATGGCGTAAACCCGGGAGGCGGAGCTTGTAGTGAGCCGAGATCCGGACACTGCACTCCAGCGTGGGCGACAGAGCGAGACTCCGTCTCAAAAAAAAAAAAAAAAAAGAAGCAACAGAGTTAAAACCATTATTTCTAGGTGAGTGGTTTCGTGCAGTTGTGGTCAGGTATTTTTCCTGACAGAGGCTACTGTTCTTGTTGATTGCTTTTTCTTTTTTGGGGGGAAAGGGGGCAGTCTCGCTCTGTCACCCAGGCTGGAGTGCAGGTGCACGATCTCAGCTCACTACAACCTCCACGTCCCAGATTCAAGCCATTCTCCTGCCTCAGCCTCCCGAGTAGCTGGGACTGCAGGCGCCTGCCACCATGCCCGGCTAATTTTTTTGTTTTTTTCAGTAGAGACAGTGTTTCACCATGTTGGCCAGGCTGGTTTCAAACTCCTGACCTTAAATGAGCTGCCCACCTCGGCTTCCCAAAGTGCTGGGATTACAGGCGTGAGCCACCACACCCAGCCTGTTCTTGTTGACTGTTGGCTTTATTTTCTTCTTAAACATTTTAGAACAGTCCAGAGGAAGAGGTTGAACTAAAGAAGTTGAAACATTTGGAGAAGTCTGTGGAGAAGATAGCTGACCAGCTGGAAGAGTTGAATAAAGAGCTTACTGGAATACAGCAGGTAACTCTCTTCATGGACCTTGACTTTCTGCCTTCTATCAGAGCTTCCTGGATATAACTTGTGGTTACGGGGACAGGCTCTGCAGTCAGACTCCCTGGGTTCAGATCCTGGATTCACCCTTTCTCTTACTGAGAACAAATTTATCTTTGCCTCAAGTTCCTCATCTGCAAAAAGGGAATAATGGTGACATTTCCCTCTTAGGATTGTTGGGAGCATTAAATAATGTAGACTGAGCTTGACACATACTAAGTGCTTTATAAGCATTTATTGTCATAGTTATTGTCAAACCCCAGCCAGCATCCATTTATGCTCACAGGAGAGCACCTGCCATGCTCAGATCATGAATTGTCTGAAATAGAACAAGTAGCTTCTCTCTCTCTGGGCTGTTGTAATGTGTTTGGCAAGGCAAATAACATTTTGTTGGTTCATAGAAGGTCCAAGTTAAACATGATAGTGGGGTTGGAGGGGGTCATCCTATTCAATTCCTTATATTAGAGATGGGGTACTGAAACCCAGTAAGGATTAGGACTAGCTCAAGACCACTTATTTATTTTTCCTTCTCATTGTGTAACATTAATTGGGGTGTGTTTTGGCTTTTTTTTTTTTTTTTTTTTTGAGATGGAGTCTCACTCTGTCACCCAGGCTGGAGTGCAGTGGTGCAATCTCAGCGGCTCCCTGCAGCCTCTGCCTCCCAGGTTCAAGCGATTCTCCTGCCTCAGCCTCCCGAGTAACTGGGATTACAGGCGCCGCCTGCCACCACATCTGTCTGATTTTTTTGTATTTTTAGTAGAGATGGGGTTTTACCATGTTGGCCAGACTGTTCTCAAACTCCTGACCTCAAGTTATCTGCCCGCCTTGGCCTCCCAAAGTGCTGGGATTATAGGTGTGAGCCACCGTGCCCGGCCTGTATGTTTGTGTTTGCCTGGCCTATATGTTTGTGTTTTAATTACAGAATACATGCTGACTGTACAAAAGTTTTAAGCGCATGTATAGGCACTAATATGGAAAATAAAAATTATCCATGAGGCCCCAACTCAGAGATAACCATTATCGAAGCCTGAAATACATTTTTCATCTTAAAAAAAATTGATATAATGTTATATACACTTTATAAACTATTTTTTTTTTGGATAAAAAAATTAAACATTTTCCTATGATGGTATTTTTCAAAGCTTGCATGCATTTCATCTTGTATAAATGTATCATTTACCTAGCCAATTCTGTATTGTTCATTTAATACTATTTTTACCATTATGTGTAATGCTTCTTTGACTATCCTTGGACATAAATCTTTTTTGACCATTCCTGGTTTTTTTAGTAGAATAAATTCTTTGAGTTGGAATTGTTGGTTGATATTTAAAGCTCTTGCTACATGTTGTGAAATCTGTATTTGTAGCTCTTGGCTGTGATAAACATCCTCAGAGATCCCTGCTATCCAACTCTTGTCACCAGCTAACTGGTCATTAGGCCAAGCTATGTGAGTGAACCATTAGACAATTTGATAAAAATAAGCACTGCTGCCATTCGTTAGCATGTGTCTGTGCCACAGGTTAGTGACACATGTACATATATTCCCTTTACCTCACAGTAACCCTCTAGGGTGTGAGTATCATAATCTTCATTTTTAAAATGAGGGTACTGAGACATGAATAGGCTAAGTAATTTGCTCAAGATCACAAGTTAGTAAATGGCAGTCAGTTTTCAAGCCTAGGCTTCGAAGACTCTAAGCCTGTGCTTTTAACATCTGCCTCTTGTGTACAGGATACATTTGTGATTGGGGGCTTCACTGGCACCAAGCCTCAGGAGGCATTCGCAGCCACAGTGGGTCATGTGAGGTAGAGCAGACTGCAACCTGATAGAATTCTTGGACTGGCCCACGGCCAGTCTTTTAAATTTTTCCAAGAGATGAAGTTGTGGATCTAAATGTGGCCTGGCCTGCCAGGGCTATGGTGGACTCAGTGTGATCGCTTCAGTAGTATTGTGGCATGGAGTTTTCCATCATTCTCAAAGAACCCTTGCAGTAATGCATTATTTCCCACAGGGTTTTCTGCCCAAGGATTTACAAGCTGAAGCTCTCTGCAAACTTGATAGGAGAGTAAAAGCCACAATAGAGCAGTTTATGAAGATCTTGGAGGAGATTGACACACTGGTAAGTAAATATTCAGCTGAGAAGAACTAGTTTTGTCTTTATTTCAGTCACATTCACTCTTCCAGTAATGTACTCTCCTATTGTCTGAGCAAACCCATCACTTGAGAATATTAAGCATCTACTTTTGTGTGCCAGTCACGTTGCTTGGTCCTGGGTGAATGCACAATGATAAGACAGTTCCTGCTTTCTAGGCACTCACAGCCCTCCAGTATAGGACTTTTATCATTTATACTTATGTTTGCCAGTAGCATCTGTAATCATCATGAAGCTGGGACCCAAGGAGTCCACGATCTCATGGTCAAGGAAACAGGTTTTCACTTTCTCTGATACTCATGTGACTGATAATTCTGCAGGCCTCATTACTTGTAGAGGATTCAGCCAGACCCAGATCTTGTGAGGCTGCTGAAAATCGTTAACTCAGGGGTTCTCTTTTGCAGATGATAGTAATGATATCTCTAGCCTGATGCTTCATTCTTGAAGGTGAACTGCACTGTGTGTTTCTGTTGGCCAGGGAGGGTGTAAAGAAGCAGCAGCGCCGGGCGCAGTGGCTCACGCCTGTAATCCCAGCACTTTGGGAGGCTGAGGCGGGTGGATCACAAGGTCAGGAGATCGAGACCATCCTGGCTAACACGGTGAAACCCTGTCTCTACTAAAAACATAAAAAATTTGCCGGGCGTGGTGGCAGGCGTCTGTAGTCCCAGCTACTCGGGAGGCTGAGGCAGGAGAATGGCGTGAACCCAGGAGGCGGAGCTTGCAGTGAGCCAAGATCGCCCCACTGCACTCCAGCCTGGACGACAGAGCAAAAAAAAAAAAAAAAAAAAATAGCAGCAGGCACTTTTCCTGTCACAATGAGCCCATGGTCTGGCCAGGGCAGAGTATCCATACATACGAAACAAGAAAAAAACGAAGTTTGTGTTACAGATCAGTTCCTACGGGCCAGACGTTGAGAATACAGGGAGCTTTTATAGGGACAAGAGCCATGGGAAGGCAATATAGGATACAGACTCAGGGAAAGGGTTCCTGAAAATGGACATCTCGTTTACATTGGTGACCCGTGACCTGTTTTATATACTGTGGGTGTTTCTTATGTGTTCTCATGTCATTTTCACTGAGGATTATTTGTTACATGTTTACTATTTACTAACTTGTATTATCAACTTACTCTTCCATAGATCCTGCCAGAAAATTTCAAAGACAGTAGATTGAAAAGGAAAGGCTTGGTAAAAAAGGTTCAGGTGAGTTGTGTAATAGTGCACCACAAGGCGTAATATGTTAATGTGTAGGTATGCATGTTTATCTCTTCAGAGTCGGTAGTATAGCAGCATGGTGTGTGGTATGGGCTTGTTTTGGTTATTACTTATTTATCAACAGGAACCCTGAATGTCAGAGAAGAGCCCCCTATGTCCCTGTAATTATATATGAATTTAAACTGTTTAGGGAGGGAACTCACTGGAGAGCAGATAGGGCTGACGCGTTACACAATTCCTGGAGGCAGTATTCATGCATACATTGCTTCCTGCGATTGTTCAGGTGCCGTGCAGTGGCCTTGTGGCAAAGCTCCCTGCCTTTACCACCTTTTAGGGGATTGCTGGCCTGGAGCATGGTCAGAATGCTGGTCCTATGCTCCCTTCCTCCCCTTACCTTGGAACCCAGGCCAGTTGCCCATCTCCATTCATGCACAGTCTGTTTTGAGTCTCAGCCATGGGTTCCCCAGAATGGCTAAGCAAGGAGCCTTGTGTGGGCAGTGGTTGGCTATCCCTGGATGGGCCCTTACTGCCCCGTGTGTATTTTCTAGGCATTCCTAGCTGAGTGTGACGCAGTGGAGCAGAACATCTGCCAGGAGACAGAGCGACTGCAGTCTACAAACTTTGCCCTGGCCGAGTGAGGTGTGGCAGAAAGAGGCTGTGCCTTGAAGAATGGCACCACCAGCTCTGCCGTCTCTGGAGCAGAATTTACCTGATTTCTTCAGGGCTGCTAGGGGCAACTGGCCATTTGCCAGTTTTCCTACTCTCACCCGGTTCTCAATGAAAAACAGTGTCTTTGTGATTTTGAGTAAAGCTCCTGTCTGTTTTCTCCTTCTGTCTCTGTGGTTGTGCTGTCCAGCAATCCACCTTTTCTGGAGAGGGCCACTTCTGCCCAAATTTTCCCAGCTGTTTGAACCTTTGGATGCTTTCTTTGGGCTGGTGAAAGCTCTAATTTGCCTTGGGCTAGTTTCAGGTTTATAGGCGGCCCCAGTCTTCAGATATATGAGGGCTTCTTTGCTCTTGTGATCACGTAGTCCCATAGCTGTAAAACCAGAATCACCAGGAGGTTGCACCTAGTCAGGAATGTTGGGAATGATCTAGAACAAGGTGTTTGGCACATAAGTAGACCACGTATCCCTCGTTATGACCTAATTCCAGAACATCTGGCTGGGTTGTTGGTTTCTAGACTTTGTCCTCACCTCCCAGTGACCCTGACTAGCCGTAGGCTATGAGATATCAGGGGGCCGTTCCTTTGACGGAGCCTGTAGTTGATGCAAGTCTTCCTCGTCTCCAAGCAAGTCTTCAGAATGTTAGAACCCAGTGTTGACTAAGTCTGTGCTTGAAACCGGACCAGAGCCATGGCTTAGGAAGCGCAAAGAGAAGGCACCAGAATGAATAAAGCAGGCAAGTGGTGAAGCCAACCATAAACTTCTCAGGAGTGACATGTGCTTCCTTCAAAGGCATTTTTGTTAACCATATCCTTCTGAGTTCTATATTTCCTTCAAGGCTGTTCTGTCCATTTTGTGGACTGCCCCCCACCCCATCATTGTTATTAAAAAATTGAGGCCTGGCACAGTGGCTCATGCCTATAATCCCAGCACTTTGGGAGGCTGAGGTGGGCAGATCGCTTGAGGCCAGGAATTTGAGTCCAGCCCAGGCAACATAGCAAAACCCCATTCTGCTTAAAATAATAATAATAATAATAATTAACTCGGCGTAGTGGCATGTGCCTGTAATCCCAGCTACTGGGGAGGCTGAGGCATGAGAATAGTTTGAACCTGGGAGGTGGAGGTTGCTGTAAGCCAAGATTGCGCCACTGCACTCCAGCCTAGGTCACAGAATGAGACTCCATCTCAAAAAAAAAAAAATATGGGTCAGGTGCAGTAGCTTCTTCCTGTAGTCCCAGCTACTTGGGAGGCTGAGCCTAGAGGATCACTTGAGCCCGGGAGTTTGAGTGTAGTCTGGGCAACATAGCAAGACCCCATCTCTAAAAATTTAATTAAGTAAAAGTAAATAAAAAGGGAAAAAAAAAACACCGTTTATGTGCTCATCAAGTAGAAGAGTGTTTTGCTTTTTTTTTTTTTTTGATCATTTGATAAATCATTTCATGGCTCTAGTCATAATTTATGCTTAATAACATTGAGAGTAGCCTTTTGTGCTAGAACTCTACATAAAATGGTCAGTTGCTGTCACCCCATTCTTTAGCACAGTGCCCCGTAGACAGACTTCTAAAAGGCCACTCTGAGACCCACATCATTTGGCAGAGAGAGAGTCGTTGAAGTCTCAGCAATTTAGGAATGGGTGGGTTAAGACCTCAGACAAGGTGGTAGAGGTGGACTTGTGGACAAGGCTCGGCTCCCAGCCCACCGCACCCCAACTTTAATCAGTGCGGTTCACTATTGATCTATTTTTGTGTGATAGCTGTGTGGCATGGGCCATAACATTTGATGAGAAGTTACTGTATACCGAACTGCCGAACAGTGTTCTAAATTGTTCATATATATTAGTCATTTAATTATCACAAAACTTCAGAAGTAGACAGATATCCTTATTTTAGAGATGAGGAAACCGAGAGAACTTAGGTCATTAGCTAAGGTTGTAGAGTAAATGACAAAGCCAAGACACAAAGCTGGGCGGTTTGGTTTCAGAGCCAGGGCTTTTCACCTCTACTGCTTCTCAACCAACACAGGGTTACACAGGCCCATTCTCTGATTTTTTTCTTCTCCTCCTCTGCCTCTCCCTCTAGCTGCCACTTCTCTCTGCTCTAGTTCATTTTCCATAGAGCAGCCCGAGGGATCATAAAGTGCAAATCTTGCCATGTCAGTCCCTGCTTGGAACCCTCCAATGGCTCACCATTTCTCTTACTTTAAAGGCGAAAGTCTTTACCCCATGCCTTCTGCCCTCTCATCTCAAGCCCCTCATTTGTTTGCTCTCTGCTGTCAGCCACTCTTCTTTCAGGTCCTCAGATGCACTGCACGCTCTCCTGCCTGGGGTCTTTGCACCTGCTACTGCCTCTGCTCGGACAGCTCCTCACCTTCCTTCCTCCAACCCCACCCTTGTATAGGTGACTTTTATTCATCAGAATTCAACTCACATGTCTCTTCCATGGAGAACCCTCACCTACTGTCTTGAGACCCTGTCAGGCCCCCAGGTGGGATCCTCTCTCGGCTTCCCATACATGTCTTTCACAGCATTTACATAGTCCATGATAGTTTACTTGTGGGATTATTTGGTTAATCTTTGCCTTTAATGCCAGGGTTCCTTGAGTGAAGGAGCTTCTTTGTCTTGGTAACAGCATTATTTCAAGCATATTGTCCTGTGTATAGTAAAACCTCAATAAATATTTGGAGAGCGAATGAATGTTGAATGCACACATCAATAGTGAAACTTCTATAGCTGCATATGGCCTCAGAATCTCTATCAGCATTGGAATTTACAGTCTTAACAGCCTTTATTGTCTTAAGGGTTGAGAAAAGAGGCCCTAAGGCATGGACTGCTGGGCAGATGTGATGGGTAATTGCACAGGCCCCACCCACACAGATCTGCTCATCCAAGGAGTTTCTGCCTGTGAAACTTCTGTGAGAAGGGGAGAAAGCACCCCTTCTCAGTTGTCCACTTGCCTGGGACATGGCAAGTCCTACCACAGGGAGAACAGATGGGAATGCATGCTCCCACAAACTAATTCTTCAGCCTCGGGGCTTGAAAGATTCTCCCACATTGTCTTTTTTTTTTTCAAGATAGGGTCTTGCTGTCTTGCCCAGGCTAGAGTGCAGTGGCTTGATCTCTGCTCACTGCAACCTCTGCCTCCTGGGCTCAAGCGATCCTCCCACCTCAGCTTCCCGAGTAGCCGCGACCACAGGTGCGTGCCACCATGCCCGGCTAATTTTTTTTTGTATTTTTGGCAGAGACAGGGTCTCACCATGTTGGCCAGGCTGGTCTTGAACTCAAGCAATCTGTCTGTCTCGGCCTCCCAAAGTGATTGGATTACAGGCATGGGCCACCGTGCCTGGCCTCGATATTGTCTATTTAGTTAATGGTTTCTACTTATCCTTCAAGGCACAACTTAAAGGTTACCTGTTCTGAGACTCCTTCATATAGTAGTCAGGACCTTTGTCGAAAGTACCAGAAGCCAAACCAGGCACAGTGGCTCACACCTGTAATCCCAGCACTTTGGGAGGCTGAGGTGGGTGGATCACCTGAGGTTGAGAGTTCAAGACCAGCCTGACCAACATGGAGAAACCCTGTCTCTACTAAAAATACAAATTAGCCAGGCATTGTGGCACATGCCTGTAATCCCAGCTACTCGGGAGGCTGAGGCAGGAGAATCGCTTGAACCCGGGAGGCGGAGGTTGCGGTGAGCTGAGAACGTGCCACTGCACTCCAGCCTAGGCAACAAGAGCAAAACTCCGTCTCAAAAAAAAAAAAAAGGAAAGAAAGTACCAGAAGCCTAATTCCAAAGAGACTGGGCAAAGTAGAAACTTTGTGGTCATGATATCAAGTTATCCCGTGTAACTTTGGGAAGGTCAAGGGAAGCTGGGCTTCAGGAACTCAAACATTGTAATCACTCTGTCTCTGCGAGCCTGCATCATCCTCTCATTCCTCCTTCCACAAAGCAGGGCGTGTGACTGCTAACAACCCCTGTGTTGCTCATCCTGCAGCTTCAGTGCCATGGGGGAACTGCCTCTGTTTTCTTGTTTCTAATTTGAAAGATCCTGGAGAAGAATCTTTTGGCTGATCAGCAGTGGCCAGAGCAGCAGGGTCTCATGCCATAGATATGGTCTTTAGGGGCCAACACTTAGGTTTTGGGGTAGTTCCTGGAGATGGGGCCACAGAGTCCACATATGTAAGTGGTGAATTAGGTATTCCTTCCAGGTGGTGCCTGGCACATTGTTCAGGCTTAATCTCTGATTCCTCAGATGATGAGTAGAAGCCTGGGAAGGAAGGGTCACTGATGAGATGCTTGGCTGGGCTATGCCACTTGGGTATAAGAGGGGTGTCCCACTTAGGGCAGAAACTTTTAGATGTCACCAATATCCACTTTCTCCTACAAAAAGTGAACTAATTTTTAGTTTAATGCATGGCCAACCAGATAGACTGTATTTCTCAGTCTCCCTGCTCAGAAGGCCACGAGACTACTTTTTAGCTAATGGGGTTTGTACAGAGTGTGTACATCTTATGGGAAATGTCTTCAGAGGCAGGTGGCATGCCCTTTCTCTCTGGGGCCTAGAATGCAGATGTGATGGCTGTGGTTGGAGTAGCTGTCTTGGACCTGAGGTAGAAACTGTGATGCGGATGGCAGAGTAACAAAATAGAGGAGCATGGAGTTGCCATACTACATAAGTCCATGTGTGGGAGAAATGAAGTTCTGTCTATAAGTCACTGTTATTTTGGGTTTTCTGCCTCTCACAGCCAAACAATCCTACATCATTCATATGCAGGTATGAAACAGGTATGAATCAGTCCCAGTAGAAGGCCTTATTCATAGATGGCCTCGCAGTCCTGCCACCTACAAATCTATCAGCAACAATTCCTGCTAAGTGTTCCCATTCCAGTGGTGCAGGGAAAGTAGCTTCCTGCCTTCCTGCACCCATTCTCAGACGTGTGTCTTCTACAGAGCATTTCCTGCCCTTTGTGCCTACTCTGCAGCAGGAATCAGAGTGTGTGAAACTGCTCTCACCTGCCCAGACCTCTCTCCATACCCCTTTCTCCTGCCACCATTATCAAGAGGCTCTGCCTAGGAGCTTTGGCCGAAAGAGGAGGTATTCAACATATACCACAGGAGGGCTCTCTGTCAATGGTGACAATTCTGAATGCTGTGTGTCCCTGTGGAAC